GAGTTTGAGTTGCAAGACCTAGATGTGATTTTGGGGATGGACTGGCTAGGAAAGTATAAGGCTCACATAGATTGTGCTGCTCAGAAAGTGAAATTGTTGGGTCCGGGTAATGTGACAGTGACTTATAGGAAGGAAGGGAAGAATTCAGGGATCAAAATCATTTCTGCCTTGCAGTTTTGTAATTGGGTCAGGAAGGGTTATCCTATATACATGTGTAGTGTTCAGGAAGTGGGAAGGGAGGATGAGAAGAAAAAAAGTATTCCTATAGTTGAGGAATTTCCAGATGTGTTTCCTGATGAAATACTAGGTATGCCGCCAGTAAGGGATGTTGAGTTCACCATAGAATTGCTACCAGGGTCTGGACCTATCTCGAAGGCCCCATATAGGATGGCTCCAGCTGAGATGAAGGAATTGAAAACTCAGTTAGATGACTTGTTGGATAAGGGATATATTCGACCTAGTTCTTCTCCATGGGGTGCTCCATTGTTGTTTGTGAAAAAGAAGGATGGAAGTTTGAGGTTGTGCATAGACTATCGGGAGTTGAATAATGTGACAGTCAAGAATAAGTATCCTTTTCCTAGAATTGATGATTTGTTTGATCAGTTGAAAGGGGCTGGAATATTTTCCAAGATAGATTTGAGGTCAGGGTACCATCAGTTGAGAATTGCAGAGCAGGACATTCCCAAGAGTGCTTTCAGGACACGTTATGGCCATTATGAGTTCACAGTTATGCCATTTGGGTTAACTAATGCACCTGCAGTTTTCATGGATTTGATGAACCGAATCTTTAGGCCATATTTGGATAAGTTTGTGGTGGTTTTCATTGATGATATTTTGATCTACTCCAAGAATAGGGAGGAGCATGAAGATCATTTGAGGAAAGTATTGTCGATCCTGAGGGAACACCAATTGTATGCTAAGCTGTCGAAGTGTGAGTTTTGGTTAGAAAAGGTAGCCTTTTTGGGGCATGTGATTTCTAGGGAAGGAATTTCAGTAGATCCCTCAAAGATCAATGCAGTGAGTGAATGGCCAACACCTAAGAATGTGTCAAATGTTCGAAGTTTCTTGGGATTGGCAGGCTATTATCGAAGATTTGTGAAGGATTTTTCGAAGATTGCGAGGCCCATGACGAATTTAATGAAGAAGGAATGTAAGTTTGTTTGGACCCAGGAGTGTGAGCAAGCGTTCCAGACCTTGAAAGACAAGTTAACCTCAGCACCAGTATTGGCTTTGCCAGATGAAAGTGGGCAATATGAGGTGTATAGTGATGCATCGAAGTTTGGATTGGGTTGTGTTTTAATGCAGAATCGGAGGGTCATTGCATATGCTTCGAGACAATTGAAACTACATGAGGTGAACTATCCAACCCATGACCTAGAGTTAGCTGCGATTGTGTTTGCTTTGAAAATTTAGAGACATTATCTATATGGTGCAACTTGTAAAATGTTCACAGATCATCAGAGTCTAAAGTACATTTACACTCAGCAGTATTTGAACTCGAGACAGAGACGATGGTTGGAATTTATGAAAGATTATAGTGTGAATATCCAATATCTGAGGGGAAAGCTAATGTGGTAGCTGATGCTTTAAGTAGGAAAACCAGTCATTTGATGAATTTGATGATTTTACCAGACCAGTTGTGTGTAGAATTTCAGAAGATGAATTTGGAAGTGGTGGAGCATGGAGAGGCCAGTAAGATGTTAAATGCCTTGGCGGTGAAACCTTCTATTTATGATGAGATTAGAGAAAGTCAGTTGAGGGACTCGAAGTTGAAGGCAATAAAAGAGAAGATTGAGGGAGGACAGGTTTTGGACTTTACTATTACTGATGATGGAAGTATTCGATTTAAAGGGAGATGGTGTATTCCACAACATCGTGGGGACATCAAGCAAAGACTGATGGAGAAGGCCCATAGCTCTCCTTATTCGATGCATCCTGGAGGGGATAAGTTGTATAAGGATATGAAGAAGATCTTTTGGTGGCCAAACATGAAGAAAGAAGTAGCAGAGTTTGTGGCAAAATGCTTAACATGCCAGAAAGTGAAGATAGAGCATCGAAGGCCACAAGGAATGGTTCAATCCTTGGAAGTACCAAAGTGGAAGTGGGATTCGATCGCCATGGATTTTGTGGGGGCATTACCAAGGACCACGGCAGGGAATGACACTATTTGGGTCATTGTGGATCGATTGACTAAGTCCGCAACCTTTATACCTATGAAAAACACTTGGTCTATGGATCAGTTGGGAAGGGCATATGTGAAGTTTGTGGTGAAGTATCATGGAGTGCCTACAGATATCATTTCAGATCGTGATTCGAGATTCTTGTCGAACTTTTGGAAAGTTTGCAAAAGGCCATGGGAACAAAGCTATTGATGAGTACAGCTTTTCACCCTGCAACTAATGGTCAGACTGAAAGAACCATACAGACCTTGGAGGACATGTTGAGAGCATGTGTATTGGAGTATCAAGGTTCATGGGAAGACCACTTAGACTTGATTGAATTTTCATATAATAATAGCCATCATGCAAGCATTGGAATGGCCCCATTTGAGGCTTTGTATGGAAGGAAATGTAGGAGCCCAGTTTGTTGGAGTGACATAAGTGAAACTGTTGTACTTGGGCCTGAAATGATAGAGGAAACTGTTAAGCAAGTAAAGCTGATCCAAGAGAAAATCAAAGCAGCCCAAGACAGACAGAAAAGTTATGCTGATGAGAAGCGCAAAGACGTAGAGTTCCAAGTAGGAGAAAAGGTGTTGCTACAGATATCTCCTATGAAGGGGGTAATGAGATTTGGGAAGAGGGGGAAGTTGAGCCCAAAGTACATTGGGCCATACGAGATTCTTCAGAAAGTTGGAAAAGTAGCATATAAGTTGGACTTACCCAACGAGTTGGAAAGGGTGCACAATGTCTTTCATGTGAGTCAGATCCGCAAGTATGTTCCTGATGTTGCACATGTGCTAGAACCAGAGACAATTGAGCTAGATGAGAGCTTGACCTACGAAGAAAGACCGGTGAGAATTCTAGATAGTAAAGTTAGAAACACCGGAAACAAGGATGTGAAGATTGTCAAGGTTCTATGGTCGAACCATAAGGTTGAGGAAGCTACTTGGGAAGCTGAGGCAGAAATGATAAATAGCGATAGACCAGCCAAAATCTTCTAATAAGCGACTACGTACCTTTAAGGTGAAAGGTCGTAATGCCAGAGGGTGCGTAAAAAGTACCCAAACCTATTCATGGTGAGTGGTTAAGTTACGGGGACGTAACTTCCTTTTAAGGGGGGTAGAATGCAATAGAGTTTCGCGCTTTCCTTTTATGTCTTTATTAAGTGAATCTTTTGAGTCAAGTCCTTAGGTTGTGCATGAACTTACTAAATTTTAACTAATTTGGAGTATTAATTCGAGTTATTAAATAATTTTAAGTTTCGGGACGAAACTTCTTTTAAGGGGGGTAGACTGTAATACTCCTAATTTTTGAAAATATTTTCTTAATTAGTAATTTCTTTAATTAATTGAAATAATTAAATATTTCTAAATTATGATCTTGGTCGGTCCGTATTTTTTATTAATTAACGTTGTACGCCGTTTTTAATTTTATTTTCCGGATTTTATCTTAATAATACTTAACAAGTTTAGCTTAATTATTATCTCATGATTTACAACAAATCTTAGTTTTGATATTATCTAGTAGTATATATTTTAACTTGATTTAATTATCAAATATAATTATTTTATTTATTTAAGAATGATTTTCGTTATATATATATGTAAAAAAAAAAAAAGGCCGTGAGTTATGAGAAGCCATACTCATCATTATTATTTATTTTTAAAATCTCTTAATTTATCATTTTTTTTTACTTAAATCTCTTAATTTATCTTTCTTAACCATATTAGCATTTATCTTACTTCCATCCCTAATCCTTTCCATTAACCTAGACTAAATTCCACTCATATTCATTTAACAAACTTACATTTATCATGTTCCCATGTTAATCTCAAACTTCCTTTAACTCTATCTTACTACCCCTTAAACACTATAAATAGACCCTCAACACTTCACAAATTCCTCACACCAAAAATCAGAAATCCTCTTCTCTACTCTCTATCTCATCACCACTCATATTCATTTATCTAGCCGATCACGAATTTAGAGGTGCTCCACTGGAATCGAAATTTTTTCATTTGTGCGTGAAACTTGTTAAAATTGACACTTACTTGCTCCACTCGTTCTTGTTATACATTTCTTGTAGCTTGACCTGAACTCGGATGGGCATGAAAATCGAAATGTTTGCTACTCCAAGCTCAAGTAAAAAAGTACATTTAAAGTCGAGTTTAAGTCCGAAACAAACTTAGTTCCAAAATTAATTTGAAAACACATTTAAATAACTCTAGTCTAAACAAGGACCCAAGTCATTTATCCTGTCCTATATATAAAGTAAAAGGAGGTTTTGCAGGATAAATTTTACTTTCCTAAAATACTTCTGTTATATTTTTTTCCTAAAATCGAGAAAACACAAATCGAGAAAACACAAGTTTATCACCTTGGTGTTAGCAACTTTACCATGAACAATGTTTTGTTTGCACTAATTATGGTAGAACCACCAACACCATCACGATCAACAATGCAAAAAAAAAAAAAAAAAAAAAAAACTATTCAGGGTGAAAATGCTAATAGTGTTAGTGGTTTTTCCATGAATAATTTTTTCCATTTATTTACAAATTTGCCGTTTGATAAACTCATTCAAAAAAAAAAAAAATTCTATCTTTTCTTTTTAAAAATTTGATCGAGGGAAGTCAAATTTTATGATTTAGCCTACTTGATATCATCAACTTATTTTTGCAATGACATTTTTTTTGTTATATTTTATCAACAATTTTTAAACTCACCAAGATCCTGTTCACTTCACTTTATTTTTGTAGAAATGAAATTATATATTCCGTATTACCTAAGTGAAATTATTTAGACTAAAGCTTGCTTAACTCTTATTGATTAAAGTTACTTGTCAAGTTCAAATCAAAACAACTCTAGTCGACCATTCCTAGTCGATTTCGAGTTGCTCAACTCGATTAGCACATGAGACCATTGAGATTTGGGTAAGAGCACAAAATTAGGGCTTATAACAGTTTTACTTTATAGTTTGAACAAATTCCAGATACACTCCCAATTCTCGTTCAACATCTCCGATCAACCACTCTTCCCTGAGCTTAATACCCTTCAATCTCGAGGAGAGAGAAACAATGGCTGACCGCCGGCGACTGGCAGCAATTTTGTCGGCAGTCGTCGACGTCAAACCTCACGAAATCTCCGCGCTTCTTCACTCCGCTGGATCTTTCTTCTTCGTATGCAATTTCTCCCATTTTTTTTTTCTTAATTTTGATAATTCAGTAATTTTTATGATCTCATTTTCCGCCATTGTTATTGATTTTGATGATTGAAATCGAGTGATTATGTTTATGTATTTGATTTTGATTTTGTTGAATTGGACAGATTTTGAGTGCCTATTTTGTGGTATTACCATTGCGAGATGAAGGAGCAATATCATTAGGGTTGTCAAATCTTCCTGAGCTTTTTATTGGATCTTTGGTTCTTACTTTGATTGCTGCACCTCTTTCTACATTGCTCTTTTCGTTGCCGAATCTATCCAAAGGCAGGGTATTGACTTTTTTCGTTAGGTTGTGAATTGATTGTATTGTTTCCGAACTTAATTTATCTGAACTTATTTTCCTGAACTTAACTTATTTGAACTTATTGACACTGGATTTTATGTATGTTAACTCATTGGCCCGGGAACTTTAACTCATTTGAATTATGAACTGATATTTCTGGAAATAAGTGAAAATGCGGTGCTGAGAAGAGTCAGAGTTGAAGTAGTATAATGTACGTTGTAGTGCGTATAATCAAGGGTTGATTGAAAAAGGTCTTATTATTTTAGGAATCAAAGGTTAATTGAAAAAGGTGTTATTGTTGTGTGTAGAAGCAAGGTTTAATTGAATGAGCTTGTACCATGTTTAATGGATTCGGCCATTTGGGAATCTTTTTTGTTGCTATGATGTGACAAGTGATGATAAATTATGAAACGTCATTGAGTAATGAAATGATGCATTCCAATCTAATCCCAAATTGGAGGAGTTGTTGAATAGAGAAAGAGTAGTTGTGTAATAGCGGGCATTCATTTCACAGTTTCACTTTGCAACTTGCAAATCTTGATATCAACTGTGATAGAAGTAGTCTTTTTGCTGAACCATTCAGTGTTTACTTTAAAAAACTGGTGGCTCTAGAAAAGTGAAGACCTGTTTGTTTAGTTGTAGAAAGTCTTGAACTCTTGATTTATGTTTCTTGCTGTAATGTTTGTGTTACATGTTGTCTATCTGAGTTTAAAGCTTGTATTGAATCTGTACACATATAGTTGTCTCTGCGCCATTATTCATAGATGGTTTTTAAAATTTCAGGCTCTGGTGTTGATACACAGATTTTTTAGCTTGTCACTTGTCGTATTCTTTGTTTTCTGGCATACTTCAACAAATGGATCTTCTACATCCAGTAATAAGGTGAAATAACTAATTCATTACGAGCAAATACTAATGAATGCAGTCTGCTTTAATGTTGGGGCTTTGTTTTAAAGTTTTATATTAGTTCTTAATGCTTCCTGTTTTGGCACTTAGGATTTTGTTGGTGTGCATTCAAGACATGATCAAAATGTTGGCGGCGAGCATTCCAATGTTATGCACTCTAGTTGGGATGACCTCTCATGGTATTACATCTCAGTGAGAATTGGTTTATTCCTTTGGGTATGGTTATGTCCTTCAGCTCAAAGTTAAATGCTTGCTTCAGTGTTTGACATTTTATGATTCTTATTTGATTTTTCTTCTTTTCTTATTGAAGATTGCTTTGCTGAATTTGATAACTATCTCTTCAACATGGGCAAGAGTAATCGATGTTATGGATAGCGAGGTCAGTTACTATCCTCCTGTAATCCTGTTTAAGTGATGGATGCAGGCTTTTGTGATAATTTAACTTGGATTTGTATCCAGTCAGGTTCAAGACTGTTTGGGTTTATTGGTGCGGGTGCTACACTTGGTCAGCTGTTCGGATCATTGTTTGCGACTGGAATGGCTTGGCTGGGATCTTGTATGTAACTGTCTTTTTATGACTTCAATTCTCGCGATGGATTTAATTTTTTCTTTTTTTTTTTTGTTTTTGTTTTGACACAGTCCTTGATCTCTGTTACTTTCAGTTTTACTCTTAGTAGCTGCTTTTCTAATGGAACTAGCTGCACAATCTTCTAAAGGAATTAGTCAAGACACACCCCATATTTCTGAGGAAGACACTCCGATGATGTAAGATAGTGTTCCAGTTTTCTTTTCTTTTGTTAATCTCTTGTCTGAAATTTAATGATTATAATGGTGTGAGTGTATGACCTAGCTAACTTCTATGGTTCCAAAGCCCTATACCTTTGAATGAACTCAGGGTATGAGATAAAAAAAAATGTCTATTGTGGCCTTGTGTGATAATACTAATATACAATAATTGAACTAATAGGCTAGAGATAAGGATGATTAATTGGATGTGCAATGTTACAAGGAGAGATTAAATGATCAATAAAATGATTTGAGACAAGTGAATGTTATTTTATTTGAAGGAGCATTCTAAAATTTTAAAGATATGGATGCCCAATGTCACATCAGTCCCAATTTAATTGATTTACAAAAGTTGGTCAGCAATTCCTGGTAGACATTTTCTGAAACCCAGTTAACAAAGAGTATTGGGGATTCAGTTAGGCTGTATGCAGGGTTATCAGAATATCAGGAACACTCAAGGTCTATATTCACATCTGGCCGATAGAATGTGGGTATGGGTAATTGCTAATACGGTCCAAGTAAGGAGACTACACGCGTTTGGGCTTTGAAGTGAATCTATCTCTTTATTTAGAAATTTGTGTGAAAAATTATTATTGTTATTGTTATTGTTATTGTTATTGTTATTGTTATTGTTATTGTTATTGTTATTGTTATTGTTATTGTTATTGTTATTGTTATTATTATTATTATTATTTAAAAGTTGATGTGTGCGAGTTGCCGAGTTCTCTTTGGAAGAATTAATTTTCTGCAAAATTCCCATTATACTATAAAAAGTTAAATTAATATTACCCCTGTTCATATTATTTGCAACTTTAGGGTATCATTTGTTCGATATTAAATGTTCCAAAGTTGCAAATAATATAAAACGGAGGTAGTATGTGTGTTCTTACTCTTATAGTAATAAACTAACAAACTTTTAAGACTTCATATCCTCTCACTCTCGATGGTAATAAGGGTTTGGGGAAGCGTATGGAGAAATAATGTTTTATATATGAAAAAAAAGGGAATATGAAAAATAAGTTTATCCTCTCATTTTGTTTGTGGCCTCTGCGCTAACTCTGCTGTATAATTTTTCTGCTGCAGTTGGGGGCATATACATTGAATGTAATCATGTTTGGAATAGTGCACAAGGATTGTAGGATTGGTAGTTTATGTACATGGAGCTGCTATTATCTGAACTTAATTGCGTTTCTTGGAGATATTTTGGGTAGCATTAGTCTTAGAGAACTTGAATTTAGATTTGTACCAAATCAATATCGTTAATCTTTTTTTTTGGAGCTAATTAATTTAGCTAGAGGCATAAACACTTGTATCCTGGATAATTTTTGGGTAGAACATGCATTTACATTTGTATTTAAGTAATTTTTCAATTCTGTTGTAGGATTTGTTTTATTCAGTAAGAAGCATTATCACATCTTTTTCCAGATAATGTTCTGACTGTGTTGGTCTATATGATTTAAGAGGAGAATAACTCCTCCTAATTGAACTATTCAGTATTTCAGAATCTTATTATTTTGACTTGCTGTTCATAGTAAACTGGATGATGAACAAAGTGGAGCGATAAAGAAAACATTGACGCCCAAGGAATCTTCTCCAAATTTTGTTTCTTCTCCAAAAAATCCTCAACTTTTGGCTATGTTGGATGGCTTTAGGCTTATACTCTCCTCACCTTATTTGATATATGTATCACTGTATCTATGGCTGAGTGCCGTTGTCTCATCGTTCTTTTACTTCCAGGTATGATAGCTTATGTCTCATTGCAGTTTAATTGTGTTTTATGCATTGGTGCTTTGCGACAAATTTGCAATCAAAACTGCCCATATTTGGTGGCAATCATTTCATGAAATTCACCACTGATGATTTTTATTCGAGTATAAGATGATGATGAGACAAATACATCTAAGTTGCTGAGCAGTCACAATACTATGAGGAAATTTTCATTACCCTTTTGCACGCTTCTCTTGTATTTGACTTATACATCGTTGCTGATTAAAAGTTTGACATGAGTGCTAGGATAACCCTCGGATGGGATGTATGTCTGTAGTATCCACTTTTTAATTATGAGTTCCTTTAACCCCACTTTAATTTGGATAATTTTAGAAATTGACCGCATAACCCCTTCAATATTTTAATTATTTATCCAATAATTTTTTTCCTTCATTTGAACTTTATTTAATAGGGCCTCATTATGTTGGGCAATGAGTTTTCCTCTAATGGCTAAGATTTATTGAGAAAGTTGACCCTTGTTTTGTGGAAGACTAACAATATTTCTAAAAGACAGGGAGTTGCAGTTGACTCGGCTGTCTTAATAGAGTGCTAGATTGCATTTGCAATGACAGTGAATTTAAGATACACAATGTTAGAGGTTTTCTTATCCGGCCTTTAGAAAGATGACCCTTTGTCCAATATCATTTATTGTGCATAGAATGATCATTATTTCTTCTTGACTGATTGCTGTTAAGATTAGAGCTGTCAATTGGGGTAAACAGGTCGGGTGAGAGTGGGTCGGGTCAAATCGGGTCGGTTCAATTCGGATTAATTCCATAACCTATGTGGGTCGGGTTTGGGTTAGGTCATACTTGCGTCAGGTCACGTCGGGTCATACTTCTTATCGGGTTTGGGTCGAGTTTAGGTCGGGTTAATAAAGGTCGGGTTGCATTCGGGCCGGGTGAACAATAGGTCGGGTTTAATTTGGGTTTTCACGGGTTAAAACGAGTTAGGGTAATTCTCGAATTCAAGTCGGGTTTGATTCAAGTCAATAATTTGCGGATTAGAATCAGGTTAGGTCATTCTCGGGTTTGAGTCGGGTTCGGTTCAAGTCAATAATTTGAGGGTTATAATCGGGTCAAGTCATTTTCAAGTCGGGTCATTCTCGGGCTCAAGTCGGGTTCCGTTCAACTCAATAATTTGCGGGTTATAATTAGGTTGGGTCAATTCCAAGTCAGGTCATTCTCGGATTCAAGTCTGGTTATGTTCAAGTCAATAATTTGCCGGTTACAATCAAGTCGGGTCATTTCCATGTCAGGTCATATTCGAGTTCAATTGACTATAATAGGGAACTATAGCCTATAATTTAAGAAGATAATTATCTCCTTTGGCCATACAACAAATATATACTATATTTAACTCTTAAATTTGAGGATGATGCTCCTTTGGTCATATGCGTGGACCGACTTGGACTCCCTGGACAAAATCCTTTGATCAACAATAATAAGGTGGTCTAAATTGCATTTAAGGTGATTAAAAATCTGGTCGGGAATAATTTGGGTTGAATATAGGCCAGGTCAATAACAAGTCGTGTTAATTTCGAGTTGAGTTAGTAACAAATCAGGTTGGATTTTTGGGTCGGGTAAGTAATAAGTCTGGTAAAATTCGGGTCGGATCAATAACAAGTCGGGTTTAATTTGGGTCAGGACAATAACAAGTTGAAAAGCCTTGAAATTCTTAGGTTTTGGGGCCCGGTGTCAAAAAGCCTTGATATTTTAGAAGATACATCTCGGGGTCATATAATGCCGTTTGGAACCATATATGATCATTATGTGTTTTCATAAAAGTTCGTGGTAGGCTTGATTTAATTAATCGGTGCAAGTTGTAAACCGGTAAATTAACCGTTGAAAGAAGAATTTGATGGTTCAACCCACCCAATTGGAATCCTAGAGGGTATTAGGGACCATGATGAACATTTCGGCAATTTTTATTTCGGGCGAAAAAAAGTCAAGAAAATTCAAAAATTGAAGGCTAATATCCACCTTTTTGAGATATTTTGGAGTCTTCGGGGGCCCGATGTCTAAAAGTCTTGAAATTCAAGGTAATACATCTCGGAGTCATATAATGTTGGCTGGAACCATATGTAATGAATATTTATTGTCATAAATGTTCGTGGTAGGCTTGAGGTAATGAAATTGGTGCAAGTTGTAAATCGGTGAATTGGTCATTTAAAGACAAATTGAATTGTTCCACCCACCCAATTGGACTCTCGGAGGGTATTAAGGACCATCGTAAACAATTCGGAAATTTTTATTTACGGGAAAAAAAACTCAAAAAATTCCAAAATTGAAGAATTGAAGGCATTGAAGGCTATATCCACACTTTTTGAGAAATTTTGTTGATTTCGTGGCCCGACACCGAAAAGCCTCGAAAATTAAGAGATACATTTCAGGGTCATATACTTTCATTTGGAATCATATATATTCATTATATGTTGTCATAAATGTTTATGATAGGTTTGAGTTAAAGAAATCGGTGCAAGTTGTAAATCGTTAAATTGGTCGTTTAAAGGCAAATTGGATGGTTCCACCCACCCAATTGGACTTCCGGAGGGTATTAGGGACCATGGTAAATATTTCGGCAATTTTTATATTCGGGCAAAAAAAAAGTAAAAAAAATTTCCAAAATTAAGGCTTATATCAACTCTGTTTTAGAAATTTTTGAGGTTTCGGAGCTCGGTGTCGAAAAGTTTTGAGATTTTAGAGAATACATCTCGGGGTCATATAATGCCATTTGAAACCATATAAAATCATTATTTTTGTCATAAATGTTCGTGGTAGGTCGGAGATAATGAAATTGGTGCAAGTTGTAAATCGGTGAATTGACCGTTTAAAGGCAAATTGGATGGTTCCACCCACCCGATTGGACTCCCGGAGGGTATTAGGGACCATGGTAAATATTTCGTCAATTTTTATTTCCAGGTGAAAAAAAGTCAAAAAATTCCAAAATTAAAGTCTAATATCCACATTTGTTAAGAAATTTTGAAGGTTTCGGGGCCCAGTGTCGAAAAGTTTTGAAATTTTAGGGAATACCTTTCGGGGTCATATAATATCGTTTGGAGCCTTATATGATCATTATTTGTTGTCATAAATGTTTGTTGTAGGCTTGAGTTAATGTAATCGGTGCAAGTTGTAAATCGGTAACTTGACAATTTAAAGGCAAATTGGATGGTTGCACCTAGCTAGGTGGACCCCCGGAGGGTATTAGGCACCATTTTAAACATTACTTCAATTTTTATTTTTGGGCGAAAAAAAAGTTAAAAAATTCAAAAATTGAAGTTTTAGAGGATCTGGACAGGTGTCGAAAAGTATTGAAATACTACGGCATAAATCTCACGGTCATATAATGCTGTTTAAAACCACATATGATAATATATGTTGTCATAAATGTTCGTGGTAGGCTTGAGTTAGTGAAATCAGTGCAAATTGTAAATTAATAAATTGGCCGTTTAAAAGGCAAATTGGATGGTTCCACCAACCTATTTGGACTTCCGGTGGGTATTAGGGACCATGACAAACATTTCGGCAATTATTATTTTCGGGCGTAAAAAAGTCAAAAAAATTCCAAAATTGTAGTCTAATATCCATGATTTTTGTGAAATTTTAGAGGTTTCGAGGCCCGGAGTTGAAAAGTCTTGAAATTTAAGGCAATACATCTCGGGGTAGGATAGAGTTAATGAAATCAGTTAAGTTGTAAAACAGTAAATTGGTCGTTTAAAAGCAAATTGGATGGTTCCACCCATGAAATTGGACTCCTCGAGGGTAGTTGGGACCATGGTAAACATTTCGGCAAATTTTATTTCAGAGCGATAAAAAGTAAAAAAATTCCAAATTTAAATCCACGCATTTTGTGAAATTTTAGAGGTTTCAGGACCTGGTGTCGAAAAGTCTTAAAATTTTAGAACATACATCTTTGGGTCATACAATGTCATTTGGAACCATTTTAATCATTATATGTTGTCATAAATGTTAGTGGTAGGCTTGAGTTAATGAAATTAGTGCTAGTTGTAAACCGGCAAATTGGATGGTTCCACCCACTCAATTAGACTCACGTAGGGTACTCGGGAATAGGGACCATGGTTAACATTTCAACAATTTTTATTACTGGGCGAAGATAAGTCTTAAAATTCCAAAATTGAAGGTTAATATGCACACTTTATAAGAAATTTTGGAGGTTTTCGGGACAGGTGTCGAAAAGTCTTAGATTTTAGGAGATAAATGTAGGTGTCATATAATGTCTTTTGGAACCATATATGATCATTATATGTTGTCATAAATGTTCGTGGTAGGCTTCCGTTAATGAAATTAATGCAAGTTGAAAACCGGTAAATTGGCCGTTTAATAACGAATTGGATGGTTCCAACCACCCAATTGGACTCCCGGAGGGTATTAGGTACTAATGTAATCATTTCGGCAATTTTTATTTCCGACTGAAAAAAAGTCAAAATTTTCCAAAATTGAAGGCATTATCCACGTTTTTTAGACATTTCGAAAGTTTCGAGGCCTGGTGTCGAAAAATCGGTAAAAGGATGTTTATTATTATTCGGTAAATTGGCCGTTTAAAGGCTAATTGGATGGTTCCACCCACCCAATTGGACTCCCGGTGGATATTAGGAAATATAGTAAACATTTCGGCAACTTTTATTTTATGGCAAAAAAAGTTGAAAGAATTCCAAAATTGAAGGCTTATATCCACGTTTTTTGAGAAATTTTGGAGATTTCGTGGCCATATGTTGAAAAGTCTTGAGATTTTAGGGGATATATCTCGGGGTCATTTAATGCCGTTTGAAACTACATATGATCATTATATGTAGTCATAAATGTTCGGCTAAAATTTGAATTAATGAATTCAGTGGCAGATGTAAACCGGAAAATTGTCTGTTTAAACATAAATTGGATGGTTCCACGCACCCAATTAGACTCCCGAAAGTTATTAGGGTATATGGTAAACATTTCGGCAATTTTTATTTA